ACCTCGGAGCATTCTTCGGAGAGAAAAGTCCCTTTCTTGAATTTGGCGAACCAATTCTTGCATGTCATGTAAGAGATGACGTCCTCACCGTATGTATCCACCAGCTTGGTATGGGCTTCCTTTGCATTCCAGCCGAAATCGTGGAGCAAAACCAAACAGTGGCGCAGGTACGTTTTGTCACAGTGCAAATTGTGCGACATTGTGTACTGCAAATGCAAGCTCGGTGAGTGATAGCTAGTGTAATGAAAGAGTATAATGTACACGTCACGCACACGTGATGACGTAATACCAACATCCATGCGAACGAAATAGGAGAGGATCAAACACGTGTATAAGAACTTATGCGACAACCTAATAGTATTCTCTCAACACACATCCAACACAAGCTGCGGGCCAGAGCAGTTCAGAAGCCACTGAAACCAAGGAGCTTATCGAATTTTTTTAAGTGCATTGCTCACCTTCAACTAACTGACAGTCCCACGTGGAAGTGTTGTACAGCCGTATTTCTTTCGTATTCGAGGCAACAGCAAGATGAGACTCTTCTTTTCCAACAAAAGAACACGAATACACCTAATGACGTCATATAATTCTAAGGCGAAAACTAGTCAGGAAAAGATGAGTAAACGACCCACTTCATCGTGGAATCCAACAATCTGCCGCTCTAGTGATAATTTGACAAACGAGACCAGAAAAATGTTCTCCTCCGCAGATGTTGTTAGGAGCTGATCTTTAACCGGATTGTATACCACTGATTCAAGCCTCGCTCTGAACAGTTCACACTGAGGTCACTAGAGAAATGTCTAAAATTCTAGAAATTAGAAGGCGTTATTTGCATTTAAGAAATAGGATAAGGTGACAGAAAGCCTGTTCATAAAAATGGCACATGGAGAGTATACACAGCAAAGCATAATCCTGAACTGTGAGGTGCTTTGCTTCAAGATCGTAAGAGCGGCCCTAGTGGCGTGATTTTTTAGGGTAGCGGCCGCTGTTTATCGACGGGGGGCATTCTGCTTTTCATAGATTTGCCAACCCATCTAGGTACCCTTTTTTCGAGTTGACACGTTTTAGGATGGTGGCTAGACGATCTTGCTCCAGCTTCACAAGCGTTCACAAGTTTTACCAGAGTGAGATTTGTAAACCGGAACCAGGGAAGCAATTATAATACAAAATGCCCCCCCCCCGATAAACAGCGCTAGAGTAGCGTTTCAAATCGTCATTCCCAAAATTACCCTCGAATCACGCGGTAGGATTGGGGAAGGTAAAGTGAAGTGATCAGCAACGCATACTTGTCAATATATGCTTCTTCATGAGATGACCGGTGCGGCTGGCAACACAGTATTGCGCGCTTCATGGAAGGAGGCGTGGCAACCTGGGGCGAGGCTTTGGATGCTTTGTGCAAAACTGCTCAGTGATAGATCCGCGCAGTTATTTGAAGTCTTGCGCTATCCATTACGCTACCAGAGCCGCTCGTAGGCTGTGTACTTTGCGTCAGCATACCTTGAGCAAAACGGCACGTGAAAACTCTACTGCCCGCGGTACCAGGACATGCCATCGTGTTGTGATCATTTCCTGAAAAATACTACCCCGACTAATTCTAAACCTAATGTGAGACAGGAAAATTTCTCAGATCTTCCCTAACCTCCTACCAGTTTTTCCGGAATTTCCTTCTGGTTTTTCCCCAAAATTTTGCTGTCGAGCGGAGGGGGGGGGGGGGAGGTCGTCAGGATTTAACTATCATTTTCAACTATCGGAAATAGTAGTTGTATAGATCTTTGGCAGTCCCTCTCCCAACAACGACCAAATACGACCCCCTCCCTCGCGGTCAAATACGACCCCCCCCCCGTTGTGATCATCACAACGATGGCGTGCCCTGGCAGGCACACGCTGCCTCAAAGTATGAAGCATCCTACCCTCTCAGCTTAATGGCACAGACACTATGCCGAGGGTTATGGAAAATCCAAAATGGCAACCAACCCTGAAATTTTTTTCGATCGAAGAAGTTTAGCAGATTCGATCGACCACTCCTTCAATGTTCCCTCTTCACCAACAGTAACCATGTGACCACGTACTAATACAGCAGACTCGATTGCTTCAAATAAAGGGAACACCTAGAATCAGAACGAATACATGCCACAATACAGGTAGCATAGCTATTACAGAATATCAGTGAACGTCAACTGATATAAAAAGCTATTTGCTTACCTTCAACACTTCTCTTGTTTCCGATTCCAAAATCGAAGCTGTTTGATCTCTTGATACAACAACAACACGGCGTGACCCTGGCAACTCCAGAAATCCAGTTATGCGGCTGGAATTTGAGTGAATTATCTCGTCGAATTACTAGATATTGTATCGTAAAAGATATGCGAGATAAGAGCCTAGACTCGGTGAAGAGGAGCTCTTTAAATGCCGAAGATAGCCAAAAGAGGATTAATCGTGACCATTCTGTCCTTTCCTGGCTTGGACTGCATTCATACATTGCGGCAATTCAGCGATTTGGGAGAATCGGCGATTCGAGAGGTTTAGGTGGATCAACGATTCACGAGATTCTGCTACAAGGAAAGTATAGGTGTTGATCTGACGATTGGGAAGATCGAGCGATCCCACGATGAAGACTGCGGGTTTCGAGCCCTTGCGCTCCTTGAGAATGGATGGATATCGATAAGCGTCAGTCGCTACTTGAGGAGATCCGGCGACCTGGCGGATCCCAGGTAGCCATATTCCTCAATCTTATCAATTTTCAGATCAATACCCATACTCTCCTCGTCGAACAACCTCTCGAATCGTCGGGTCTCCCATGTCTAGAAACTGCTCAGTTGCAAATATAAAAAAAACACACACACGATATAAAATTTGCATGAAGTTAAGGACAGAACTTTGAAAAAAAGAACACCTGCTGTGAGTCCTCCACTCTCGCAATAACTTCTGAGTGGCTCCCTTGATTAGATCAAACATGCACACTTGTCCCTCTAGATATCCAACCAATAAACGGCTGCTGTGAATAAACGATAGCGCTGAAACTACGCCAACACCCTTCAATGTGTGGGTGCAGTGCTGTAAAACCATGTCCCATACCTAAACTCGTTTATATCTTCACAGAGGTTACCAGATCAGAAAAAAATACATATCTGATAGACAATAAAACACACAAGAAACCACAAGAACAGTTATCAGCTGACAATATTCTATGTTTTTTTATGAATTCTGCTATCGTGAGCTTAGTGCGAACTGGATCGCGCCATCGCGGAGTCTGAACGCGCTCTTGGACACGTAACGATTGATTGCTAAACAGTTCAAGTGCCAAGACGGATGACCCCATCAAAGCTATCGCAACTATTAGCTCCCTGCTGTTTGGCGAACCTAATGTACAAAGACTATGAGCAAAGACCTGTCAAACGAAGATGAAAAATACTAGCGCTGAATGAAGCAGCAAAAGCTGGGCACACAACCTTCATCGGAGCTTTGGCAAAGAGACAAAAATGATGTCCCTGCGATGCTCCAATGTAACAGCCACTGCCCAACGAAGGGAATCAAGAAGTTCGTCCCGGTATTCTGTTCCTATATGTATTAAAAAACCATTTTAGGGAATGGGATCTTAAAGTGAAGCTGACACATCTAGTACATCCCGTAAATTTCGATCAAAGTTGCCCAGAGATAATATTCACAAGAACAGAAAAGAGGCAATAATGATTAAGATCGGCGCAGATCCTCCATGAGGAAAATCCTCTACACAGGTTCATTGCGATCTCACTCAGTTCTATGATATGACGTTATATGTCGAGAAAAAAGGGTTGCACAAGTCAATGAAGGAGGCGAACGAGGCCTACTTTACGTTCAGTAGGCGTCTGTAATCCGCACTAGGCCCAAAGAGCTGGTGGAATCAAGTATGAGATGAAGCAGACAGATCTTTGCAGAAATAGCTGAAAGTCCGGCAATTCTCCCAAAAAATTTAGTCACCAAGAATTGCCGTGGCCAGTTCTTTAGCCATGATTCGGCTGGATGACTTTTTGGATTTCCTATTGGGCAAATACAAAAGTCAAGTGAGTTCCCAAAAACCATAAGCGACGACACTGCAGTAGTGCCGATAAAGATTCCCTCCAAATGACTCAGAAGTGAGTTACATAGGTTCAAGCAAGGGTAGAATGATAGGCCAAACGAAAATTTTCACCTTTACGGTATGATCTGCCGAGCCTGTCGCTAAGCAGAACGTGGCCCCCACTCACTGTCATGTTTCATACACAGAATAGGAGCAGTGTGCATAGTCTTCCAAGTACGAGCAAGTGCAGGTGTTTCATCAGAGACCGTGAACTCTCGGATCTGAAATCAAATTATTAAGTGAGAAACCTGGGATATCAACGCAGTATACAATCAAAAAAAATACAAGTAGCATGTGGAGAACTCACGACTTGATTATTATACGCAACGATAAGCCTGGAGCGACTTTTATCTAGACATATGCAAGTTATGCGAAGACTTTCGTCAGGATCGCCAATAGTGTAGCTGCAACAGAACAGATCATTACAAGACTATACCCAAAAGATCTTTCACCGGAATTCGAAAAATTCTGCCACATGAGAGTGGGTTCATAACTTTGCATCAGCGTTTTAAGCGTTGGCGACGCAAAGTATGAATGCATCCTGACTAAAAGCGCAAATAAAACACATTTTCCGCCTGACCATGAGGGATACAGTGAGCTCCAGAGCATGTAATTTCCGACTATTCCCTCAACCCAACCCGTCACTGTATATGGAAAAGAAAAAAAAAGAAAAAAAGTCAATGCCTCGCCAGCGGCTGAGATTCCGACTGAGCATGTAGTAGCGAATAGTATCCAGCTGAGTAACCATCCCAATCGTACTTCGGAAAGTGGCAGCGCAATCACAAACTCGCAGGTCCATGAAAAAGTCCGAGTTGAAGAGCGATGAGGAGGGGTGGGGTGGGATTACATGAAGTCTTCACAGCATTTCCAACCAACTCCTTTTCAAGTTCCTCTGTGTATATAGCGATCATCTCAGATTGCGACAGTACCCTACCTCAAAGGATCCTCTAGGATTTGAACCCATTTGGCGTATTTTCCATAGGTTTAAGCCCTTAGCACCTTTTGTAGCAGCGTTTCGGCGAAAAGAGGACAAGTGTAGCACTGATCAAGCGCTCTGGTATGAAGGTCGGTTTTCAGCGATTTGGGAGAAACACAGTGTTTCGAACGCGAAAAAGAGCTTAAGTATCTATCAAGCGTGGCGGAAAAGAGATTAGCGTTTTCAGCGGAACCCTCGAGACTTAAAACGCCGGTAACGAAAGTATGAACACAGCCGGCGCAGTTCGACTAGGGATGGCACTTGGTACTTTCGCTAATTCCCACTGTATTGTCGAGCCACTGAGAAAGTTTGTGGAATCATGTAAAGGCCATGAAAAGATAGCAGTCGAACCTAGAAGGTAAAGGGTTCGTTACAAGTGTTGACAGGTAGAAACTACCCGCTTACGCTTGTAACGAACCCTTGTCATCTTGTAAAGCAGTGACAATGAACATGACACCGCAAAATGCCCCTCCTAGACGCACTGCGCCAACGCAGCCCTATATATGAGTTGTATAGAGCAAACGTCCCTTTTTTCCCATCAAACAACTTAAAGATTTCCGCTCCCATCTGTATTGAGGGCAAATTTATCCTTTTTCCTCAGCCAACTCAATAGACCCACTCGGTAGCTCAAAAAAAAAATCAGATAACCTTATGCACTAATGCAAAAAAAGCAGAAAACTCTCATGCATTAGAATGCTTTATTTCAGCAGGGTTCAGTGCTTCCTATTGGAAACACTGGGAGCCCCCAAACAACACAAAACTTTCATGCACTAGAACTGCCTATTACGGGTCGGCTATTGCCTAATTATGCCACTATCACATGCGTGAGACGATTTCCTGCAATAACACTGGTTAAGAAAAGATTGAGAAACATCAAACCTTGAAAGATCTTTGTCTAGATTGATCACTTTGACAACATTCGAGCATGTGGAGTACAATGTGTTGCCATCTGCACTCCATTCGACAACACCCCCTGTGTATACGGCCTCAATACAGCGTTTTATGGCTAGTTCACGTAAGGCATGCTTCATGACCCAATTCTGAAATATGCTCACTTAGAAATATCAGTGGAAAGATAAGTTTTCAACCAGAATACGGCTTAGTTCGAAACAATATTACGAGGATTCACAAAAAACAGACCAGTGGGAACGTCCATCCTTTGCTCTATGACCACTTTCAACCTTCACTTGAATGTCGCCTCAAGGTGTAAAGTTCATCTAGCAATCTCGTGCTTGAACGGATTGGAAGTCCCACACTTAAGTCAGATATAGGATTTATACCTCTAACTGTTTTAATTATACTGCGAAGGAATGTCTCATACGCCCTCTGAGGAGAGGAGAGCGATACCAAACCCTTATGGTTTGAAAAGGATGAAAAGGAAACTCGTTGACCACATAATTTGTCTGGAACTCCAGAACGGATTGAAAGATATGGAAACTCTTTTATTATACAATTCACAGGAGCAAACTACGATGAGCGTCTCTTCTATTATGGATATTTTCCCTATGAGGTGGTGTGATGGAACATTGCACGTTTACCATGCACACGGTCCAGGTATGAAATCCAGGGTCAGCTCCTGCCCAAGCCAATCAACCCCCTGGAACTGGTTAATTGGTACCACGAAAAGAACACTGACCTGTACATCGGCAGGGCCCCCGCAGGTCGTTGTATAGGCTACATCGCATTCAGTAAGTTACTACCACTCTGAAAGGGAAAGAAATGCGTGTCGAATCCCAAGAACGGATTACCCGATGGCCATCTGGCCCCAGTTGTCCCGCT